TTACATTACTTGACTTACATTGTAATACAAGGTTGCTAACTCAATGGTCTGCACTACAATCAATATGATACTGCTTCCAACTGTTATGTTGATTTATTCAAGCTTGAAGGAAATAAAGAAAACTCCAACCAAAATTCTTTACAGAAACAATTTAAAGACCTTATGTGTTTGATGTGAAGTACTGCCCTCAACTGCAGCATAGCGATCCTCTTCATCATCATCAGGAGGATTATCGTAATGTGATTCGTACGTGTAGGTGTACGATGAGCCACGCGCGCTTGCAGGACCAACCAACGACTCCGTCACGTAGGATGTAGCCATCCTTAAATAAAAGTCTCTCTGCTAAGGTGAATGACAACACACCGACATAGCCTACTTCGTGTCCTTCGAATTTGGTAGTGTGTCATGTCACGCTTACTTAACAAAATCAACAAATGATATAGTTGAGTGACTTTTGAAATACTTTGATAAAGTGAGCTGTAAATTTTAATGTTACTTGTATGAGAGTCATATTTCCTAAGTATTGTTATGGTCAACATCACTGTTAGAGACGAGAGAACAAAGAATTATTCGGATAATTTTGGTTGCGTTGAAAAGAAACGTAGAGTTGAGGCAGACCTGCTACCAAGACAGGTCCTCATTTGAAGAACAATACGTCAATGAAGAGACATAGGAATATAATCTTTATAACTGAGGATTTCGCGTCCGTTGGATGTGAAACAGCCAGACAGTTGACGAGCAATGAGGAGAGAAGAGTAATAGTATCAATCTCTCCCAGACATCTGGAGCGCAAGTAATTGAAGAGGAGGGGAGTTTTGCTTAGAGCTAGAGTAGAGAAGGAGAGCGCAATAATGTAAAAGGTGAGTTCACCTCAAAGATAAACGGTTGTTTGAAGAGAAGAGCGATTAGCAAAGCATACAAACAGATGAACTACCAAGAATTAAGATGAAAGCGAAATCAACGGAAAGAACTAATTATTGTGATATATATTAAAAGCAGTAGAAGAAGAACTAAGATTTCGAACTCTGATATTCCTCAGCACCGCCCTTTTGGCTTCTTTCAAAGCAGTGCTCATTAAGAAGGCGTGAAATCACCAAAAGTGGAAAAATTGAAATCGCTCCTCTGCCACTCGTCCCTGTACCCAAAAAGATCGGAATCTTTGCTTTCTCTGACAGCCTTAATTGAAGTTGCTATTCTAGTTTGGTACATCGAACTACGAAAGCTGGAGTTGAAAATTTGCCCAAACACTGCCTTTAATGACAATTGGTTGTTTCGTGAAAAAGGTACGACAATGTTCTTCCATTCAAGGTGTCAAATAATTACTGAATTTGCTAGCATAAACATGAACATAAACATATTAAACATGAAAAACATAGCATTTTCACTGAATCAATT